AGTATACAGTTCAATGGTTTCTAGTACAGTCAGAGTTGTGCAACCATCAATTTTAGAGCATTTTTATCACCCCCAAAAGAAACTCGCACAGCCATTAGCAGTCACTCCCCATCCCTCCTGTCAGCCCTGGCAACCACAAATCTGCTTTCTGCCCCTATAAATTTGCCTATTCTGAGTGTTTCATAGAAATGGAATCATACTAAAGGTGGCCCTTTGTGTCTGGCCTCTTGGAGCACAATATTTTTAGGGTTCATCCATATTGTAGCATGTATTAGTACTTCATTTCTTTTCATGGCTGAATAATATTCCATTGCATGGCTATGCCAACATGTGTTTATCCATTTACTAACTGGTGAATGTTTGAATTGTTTCCAAGCCAGCACCTCTTATAGAGGGAAAGGAAGGCACTGGTTAACTTGGAACTCACTTAAGTGTAGGTATTTTAAGAGTCTGTCTACTGATGTACTTTATGTAAAAACTAGTTTGAAATAGGGTTTCAAACCACATTATTTTCCCTTAAAGATTCTCAACCTGAAATATGACACATTTCAGTCCATCCTAATGTGAGGCCACACGAAACACATAAAACATTTTGTATGAAAGGAGCCTTTAAGATCATTTCATGAAAGACTTATGGACCTATGACTTGTCTCAAATCTGCCAGCTTAACACAAGGAATCAGCACAGAAACAAAGCTCTCCAATCTTGTCTCATGCCATTACATTAGCTACCACTTCCAGATTTAAAACGCTGGCCCTAAGAAAAGGGCTCAGGCCGAGCTTGGTGGCCTACGCCTGCAATCTCAGCATTTTGGGAAGCTGAGGCAGGCACATCACTTGAGTTCAGGAGTTCAAGACCAACCAGGGCAATATGGTGAAACGCTGTTCCTACAAAAAATACAAAAATCAGCTGGGTGTGGTGGCACATGCCTATGGTCCCGGCTACTAAGGACGATGAGATGGGAGGACCACTTGAACCTGGGAGGTGGAGGCTGCAGTGAGTGAAGATCACAGAACTGCACTCCAGACTGGGTGCTATAGTGAGGCCCTGTCTCAGGAAAAACAATTTAAAAGTTTTTTTTTTTAATTTAAAAACATTTTAAAAAGGTTCAAATGAAGGAAAAAGACCTTAATGAAATAATGACTAAGAATGGGATTTAAAATCAGCAGTGAAAGAATCCTCTTGTAGTCACTACATTTCCTCCTGATGATTTGTCTGAGCTAATCCAAGCATGAAGCACCCCCAGGAACATAAAATGGGAGGGGTGGTAAGACACAGGCCCAGTGCTGAATTGGCCCAATTAAATTGAAGAGAAACCTTTTGCCTCATGGTTGTGGTAGATGGCCCACTCCCACCCCACCTCATACCTATTGACCATAAACAAGGATCTCAAAGCAACTGAGAACCATTGATGCTGATAAAAGGAACCAGCCTATACAGATGAAGCTAAAATTGAACACGGAAGGAAAGGGAGTCCAGAGAAGCACGATCGACCAAGTACACACCTGACCTCTGTACTTCTGGCTGTGAGTTCAAGCAGGGATTTAGTTACTGGAAGCCAAAAGTATCCTGATAATATTCTATAGCAAACCATTGAAGGGCCACGGGAATTAGTCACATCGTTATCCCAAATGTAGAAGGAAAAGCAAAGTGTTTAAATGATGATTCTGCATAGAGCCCCAAAATAGCAACTTTTCACTGTTCTTTAGGATTTCACTCGACTATGGGCCTGAAGCCTTCTCTTGTCTCACAGTTTGTTACACCTTTAAGCTGGATTATTTCTGTGGCCTCTATCACATATGACCTTGGGTGTTTAAAAGCGTCAATTAAAAGCTATTTATAAATGCAAGCTACAACCACATGTACATGCCTCATTCCCTAAACCAGTCTTAGGAACTATAATGTTTGCTCCAGTATCTGGTATGACTCCACAAAACATTTTGAATCCTTGCCAAGTGATGTATAAACCCCAGGCTGAATCATTTGCAGAAAGTGCTGTCAGCTTTTTCTTCCAAACTGGAGTGTGCACAAGCACGAAAATAGACGCTTTACCACTTACACCAATGGCTTGAAATTTTACTGACGGTACAGTGACAATCTCTACTGCAACAGTAAATTTTTTAAGTCTGGGGTACTTGTGTATGCTTGTTACATAGGTAAACTTGCATCATGGGGGCTTGTTGTAAGGATAATTTTGTCACCCAGGTGCAAAGCCTAGTTCCCATTTTCCTAAGCCTCGCCCTCCTCCCATCCTCCACCCTCCAATAGGCCCCAGTGTGTGTTGTTCCCCTCTGTTCTCATCATTTAGGTTCCACTTAAAAGTGAAAACGTGATATTTGTCGTGAGTGAAACAAGGCATAATTCATATGCTTCATTTTAATATACTGTATACCCCCAAATTATGTAATTTTTAAAATGTTACCTTAAGTTACAAGGAATATATATGACTTTTGAAATAATTTTGGTACCTTTTTCTTTGCAGTAAACATAACCTTGTAATATGTTTTGAATCTAGATATGTAATATATTTTCATGGAGGGATATAACTTTGTGATCCAAAGGACACAATGAGCTATATTTTAGATTAAGAAGCACAAGAATTCCAGCATTTTGGGAGGCTGAGATGGGTGGATCACTTGAGGTCAGGAGTTTGAGATCAGCCTGACCAACATGGTGAAACCTCGTCTCTACTAAAATTACAAAAAAAAAAAAAAAAAAAAAAAAAAATTAGCCAGGTGTGGTGGCGGGCACCTGTAATCCCAGCTTCTCCAGAGGCTGAGGCACAAGAATCTCTTGAACCCAGGAGGCGGAGGTTGCAGTAAGCCAAGATCATGACACTGTACTCCAGCCTGGGCTACAAAGTGAGACACCGTTATTTAAAAAAAAAAAAAAAAAAAGACGGTAAATAGAATATTTTTGTAAAGTGGGACTTGCATATCAAGTACGTAATTGTTACCTTGATATGTTTTGAAAGATCAAAGGCTGTAACCTGTTCTTTTTCCATTTGATGATTTTAAACAACACGAGCTTGTTTAGAGCAAGCACCCAAACACCTGGTAATTCTTAAAATTGATCAAAATGGGGATTAGAGCCTCCTGTTACTCCTCTAACCCATTCTTCTTGGTGGGGGTGGGGGGAATAAGGCCAGAGGATGAGAGACTTAAATTCTATCTCAGTACTTTGATTTCTGTCCTTGCCGTTGTCAGTCATGAGGTGATAGCTAATATTTGCCAAATATTTCCACCCCCAGGCTCTGTTCTCAGTGTTTTTAGGCATCGTCTCAAAGCTAAGTTGGTTCTACTACTCTCATTTCATAGCTGAGAAAGCTGAGGCCCAAAGACAGTATCACACAGCAACTAAAGGGGAGAGATATACAAGTCATACAAGTCTGACAGTCACTGCAAAGGTGAGACAAGAAATGTGCATCACTTCACTTTCCCTAGGATGCAATCTCTGGGAGAGAGAAACCATGATAACTCAGTAAAGAAACTGATAACTATCTCCATATATTCAAAAATACTTATGTGAACCTGCACGCTGTGTATTACCACAATGTGTTCCTTAAATTGGAGTTCTAGCATTTACCACCATTTCATTTACAGACTGTCCATAAGACTGAGTTCCCTGCAAGTAGAGGTATTAGTCTGTTCTCATACTGCTAATAAAAACATGCCCAAGACTGGGTAATTTATAAAGGAAAGGGCCTTAATGGACTCACAGTTCCTCACGGCAGGGGAGGCTTCCCAATCATGGCGGAAGGTGAAGGAAGAGCAGAGGGACGTCTTATGAGACAGCAGGCAAAAGAGCTTATGCAGGGGAACTCCCATTTAAAGAACCATCAGATCTCCCGAGACTTACTCACTACCACGAGAACAGTATAGGGGAAACCGCCCCCATGATTCAATTATCTCCACCTGCCCTTGACACATGAGGCTTGTTAAAGTTCAAGGTGAGATTTGGGTGCGGACCCTGCCAAACAGTATCAGGGTCATACCTCTTGCAATTTTGTATTCCTAGTATGATGCACAAGGTGGACATAACTACATTCTGTTAGCCAGTGAACTCATAGGAATACTAAATGTTAATATGCAATCCATTTGTAGCTCCACCTTGTCTGCCAATACTTAGCCCGATGTTCAGTAATTTGTTTGATTCTGAATAGTGCTATTTCCACAGACACAAGACTTAGTTTAAGACCCCAGAGGAGGCCAGGCATGGTGGCTCACACTTACAATTCCAGCACTTTGGGAGGCCGAGGTGGGCAGATCACGAGGTCAGTAGTTCAACACTAGCCTGGCCATCGTGGTGAAACCCCATCTCTACTAAAAATACAATTAGCTGGGCATAGTGTCACGTGCCTGTAATCCCAGCTACTCATGAGGCTGAGGCAGGAGAATTGCTTGCACCGGGACCTGGGAGGTGGCGGCTGCAGTGAGCTGACATCACGCCATTGCATTCCAGCCTGGGCCATAGAGCGAGACCCTGTCTCAAAAAAACCAACCAAACAAACAAAAAAACACCAAAACAGAGAATATCCTAAATGAGTTTCAAGCTGTACCTGAAAACGCCTATCAGTATTAACCTCTGGACCCAATCAAGCGTAATCTAGACAAAGCAGCTCTGACAATTCAGGAAGTCATGGTTTTTTTCTGGAAGTGGTAAAAAGATGTATAAAACTGTTGGATCTTGTCATCAAGTTTGCTTATCTTAAATAATACCATAGCTCTATAAGAGGTGAATACTGCCTTTGTCCTAATTTTGTTTCCAGTTACAGTGCTTTATTTTTCATAAGAATGTCTTATCCCGCACTCACTCAGTGGCACTTAAGAACATCCCCCAAAATGCCAACAGTCATTATTTTCCTTTACAGTTTAAAAACATGTCATTAGTAGATGAGAAAGTGGCTGCTTTGAGTAGGGAGACTATAGTATTGCTTTTATAAAGATAGTATGTCTGAAGAAACAATGTTAAGTGTAAAATTACTCTGAAAAATTTTCAAAACCTGTGAACTATCAGCTTTATTTTTAAATACACAAGTATTTTGAAATGTAGAGTTTAAGGCTATTGTATTTCTTAAACTCCACACAAAACTGACAAATCCATACCAAATTAATCACAGGCTGCCAATTTCATCCACTAATTTAACACTACAGCATTCAGAGTAAATCAAAGGCTTTAATAGTATAGACAGTTTAAAAGAAACCAGCAGTCATTTGTAACATGCTGCTATAATTAGAACAACCAGTTTATGGATTACTGGTACAAAAAATGTCAATGGCAAACTTAGAGCTTCCTTAAAACAAACCAAAAACCTCTAGACCAACTGAGTTGATGCAAACATTCTTCATCTCAGAAAAACACTCATCTTAGGAATTTTAACACTCAGCCAAATATAAAATCATGTTTCACCGGAGACCATCACCGATCCTGGGACTTACGCCACACTTTCAAGGTTTGAATTAGGCCAACTTATAGGGGTTGTGGGGAGGGTGGAGGCTGCCAGCAGAAGAAGGAATGAGATTCGAAGTTGGGATAACTTGTCAAGTGCCAAAGACAATGAGGTGATCTGTTTGTTGGAAGCACAGTTACGTATCAGAATAACAGGAATTAAACGGAACATTTTTTTAAAAGGTATGTTCCAGAGCATAGTGTAGTTGAAAGTACTCTATAACAAGGTCTAGTCCAAGACATTCATATAAATCAGAATTTGGAGAGAATTTTGCTGAGTACCTTTCCAGTATATAACTTTGCATTTTGTTAAAGGTCACAATCATATCACAGGAACTTTAGAAATAATAGTAACTTTTAAAAAAAAGGCATAACTACCTCTCATTTATAATAAACAGTTTTGGTTAAAATATTTGGCCAGATGAAAGCTCCTGAGCATCACTGCAGACTCTCAGGTTTTACATCTTGAGTATTCCTGAGAAAACAGTAAAAAAAAAAAAGCAGTTTTCATCACTTTTTAAAAGCTCTTTTTCAGAGGTTGTTCCAGCTTTACTAGATGAAACACACAGGCAATACTGCAGGTAAGGAAAAACTGAGGTACTGCTTCCCACTTAAGCTAAGTAGGAAGAAAACAAAATGATCTGCTATAAACTGCAAGGTACAGTGCAATTCAAAAGTGAGTAGTGCATAGTATCCTTCGCTAAATGAAGGATAAAGTGTGATTACCCACTTGAAGTTACCATTATATCATAAGTGCAATTCAATTTGGGGAAAATAGTTTAATGTATCTCTCAGAAAAATAGTTTATATTTTTCCATCTCAAACAGTGCTTTACGAGGTCCAACGCCACCAAGCGACTTTCATTCTGTCCCATACTGCCGAAAGCGAATCCAAGGCAGGACGGACGTCCAGGATGGTGAACTGGTAGTCCTTGTTGACTTCGCCACCATCGTAATAATCAATCACATATCTAACTTCCGTCCCGCAACGGTTTATGATCCAATCATGCCTATCAAAAGGCAACTCATACCTAGAATAAAAACATGCCACTGAGTGTTAAAATGCTTGCTCTAAATTCAGTCCCAGTGTAAGCCATGAGAAAGCTGAAGAAGCACATGCAACCACCTGCTCCCAAACACCTAACTGGGGAAGTCAGTCAGACTTGAAGAATCACATAGCGAGCAGTACTAAGGGAAGATGGCACTAAAGAACTGTGATGAGTCCAGATAAGATGACAGCTCATCTGTTTACAAAGAAGTAACGTCAACAGGAAGTGACCTCGGCCAGGGAGGTCAGCTGACACACTGCAGTAATGCAGGTGTGAGCAATGAATCTGAACTATGCTGGAAAAGAAAGGGAGGATCACTAAGTGCATAAACCCAAAAAGACAGATCATGGGAAGAGTAAGAGGGCAAATCCAAGAACAGGGACGATAACTCCATTCAACCCTATGATAAACAGGAAGCAATCTACTACACCCTAATACATCTGCCCATTAATGGGCAAACCTCAGGGAGAGAAATAAATCTACAGCTGAATATGGATTAAGTTTTGCAAGATGGCACTGCAATTTTCAGATGGTTTTGGTGCGAAGAGAAAGTTGACCCTGACCTGAGGATGGTGAAACAACACTGTGCGCTGACACTCACCCCATCCAGGAACGAATTCGTGCCCTTGGTGAATACTCTTTTGCTTTCCCTCCAAACCGGATCAATGATGGACCACTAGGACACTCTCTAGAATTCCCCAAATAAGAAAAGTCTGTTAAAATATTTTCTTTTCTTTGACAAAGATGACGTTCTAATTTTTTAGTAATATACATTTTTTTCTGTATGCATTTCACATAATATCACATTTACAGAGAAAGGTAAGTTCTAAAATAATTCAAACAAGTGCCTATTTGTTAAAACTGTTCCTCTTTCCTTCCGCACTGGGTGTGTTCCACTGCCTCCTCTTCCTTCTGGATATATCTATACTGCACTTTGCAGGAGTCAGGAAACAGGGCCTTTCCATTTGGTGTAGGAGGACAGGCACATTAAAAACAAACCAGCCTCAAGTATTGTACATCATGCTTCTTTCTCTTTGGCACAGAGCAGCTGGGGTTTTCAGACAAACAAGAAAATCCTATACTCTTCTTTCATTTCAAACCAATGAACAGCTTTTATGAAGAAAGGAAAATGATGGATTAATCCCTATAAATGGATTGTAATTAATGTTGGGCCAGTTCCTTAATAACTACACATAGGCTGAGGGGTGGTGGAGTCCTAGCTGGCAAATGCACTCCCTCGGCCTGCAGACCCCTGCTGAGGACTCTCTAGGTGCCAGCCCTCTATGGGCACGGGGGTGTAGCAGTGCCAACAAGACCCTCTATGCCCTGTCCTCGTGGAGTTCACAGCTCACCTATAGGCTAGACAGACAGCTGTTTCCCAGACAGAGGGGGTGGTGGCTAAGACAGAAGGCCACCTATCTTGTTAGCTGCTCCCATGGGTAAGACAGGCTTTGGTATTCATTTGTTTAATTAAGTGGGAGGGAGAAAAAATTCCAAAGTATAAAGGACTCCTATTTGAGGACTTATGAGTTACTTTTCTTCTTTTAGGAACTGCTCCTTAACATCTCTTCTCAAGAGGGTCACAGGCAAAAAGGCAAACTCAATCTAGGTAAAACTTTTTCCTGGAGACCATAGCATGAGTCTTTAAAAGGTCTACTTAATTTTGATGGAAAATAACTGGAAAAGGAATTGAAACTGACAAAATGAAATTCCCTTTTCTCTTTGCTCCATAATCACACAAGTAACTAGCAGGTGGTCTTAATTATAATACATTTTTAACGTAGGTCACTGCAAACACTTGTGGCTCCTCTCAGGTCAGTGGTTACTGAGGAGAATGTGGTTGCAGTTGTTCCCCTCTCACATGCACCCACCCCAGGTCTGAGGCCCAGCCAGTGACAGCCAGGGTGTGCAACTAATGAACTTCACAATGCAAATATTAAAAACAAACAAAACACCTTAAAAAATTAAGTGGACTTTAGTAAACCACTGTTTATGATATAATCTGGCTCTAACCAGCACTAGATGCAGTGCTCCAGATACACTCAGTCTAGTCCCCACCTGAAATAGACTAAGTGAGACACCCTGGGGGTGGGGCCCAGCATGCTGGGTTTTAACAAACCTTCCCTGTGATGCTGATGCACACTCTAGTGTGAGAACCACTACTCCCAACAGAATGAAGTCCTGTCTCCTTTAACACACACAAGTGCATTTACCTATTGTCCCTGAGAAAAAGGGCTCTCAGTTAGGACATCTCTCTGTGTTTAGTCCTAATGGGGAGTCAATAAATGCTACTGAGGGAACAAAAATGTCTTTCCCACCTCCCTTGGGGCAGATGGCATTTTAGCATCTCCCTACTCACATGCTTTGCTTTCGAAGGGCTGTGATGCTCCTTCTGCTGAGAGGTGGGGTCTCTGTCCCATCCCCTTGAATATGGACAGGATCCTGACACTTGAGACTTCCCAGGCTGGGTCAGAAAAGGAGATGCTTTTTGGAACACTAGCTATTGGAACCTAGCCACCATGATATGAGGAAGCCGAAGCAGCCACATTCAGAGGCCATGGGCAGGTGTTCTGGCCAAAACCCAGTACCACTCATGAGAGGAGTAAACAGTTAGGCCTTCAGAAGACTCTAGCCCATGGCTCAGAAGCCATCCTGACCACTGAGTCTTCACAGCTGAGGACCCAGACATCAAGGAACAGAGACAAGCCACCCTTACCCTGTCCTTGCTGTACTCCGGACCCACTGAATCCACAAGCCTAATAAAATGGTTGCTATTTTTCACATGACTAAGAAGGGTGGCCTGTCATGCAACAATTGTCACTGAGAGCCATGACTGCTATATGACATGTTTTATTAGAACAATGAATTATTGGAATAAAATGTTAAAACTCTAGAAAGCTGATAGGAAATAAGAAAGATACTCCGTTTTTTTTTTTTTTTTTAAGATCTCAAACATACTTACGCAGCATGAAGGGCTTCCCACTTCAAAATCTCCTTCCAAGCTTGCTCGTTATTCTGATTGTGAATTCTAATGATATTATACATATCCTTCTGACTGATATCCTCATCTTTCCACTTCCACCTAGGAAAGAACATCTGGGAAAATCTGACAAATGTTCCTGATAATGCCATAAAGTTAATCCACATATTTTCATAAGATGATTTATTCAACATTCCCCTTTGAGAAAGAACTAAGAATGGTCATTTTCTCTGAATTTAACAGACTTAAGGCTCATTTTCAAGATGCACCCATGATCATGGAACAGCACTATAAATCCAAAGCTACCATAGAAGCATTTAAAACAAATATAGAAAGTTCACCTTAGTCTCTTTTTACTGAGTCACAGTAAACCAGTTACAGAATCATGAGGTGACATTTGTTCAGACAGTGCCACTGATCAATGATTACCTAACTTTTTCTAAACATTTTATCTAACAGTGTTTCCAGTTCCTTAAAAAACCTATTACTGACTGTGATGGTTCATTTTATGTGTCAACCTGACTATGCCACAGGACACCCAGACATTTGGTCAAACTTTATGCTGGGTGTGTCTGTGAGGGTGCTTTTGAACCTGAGTAACATTCTTTTTTTTTTTAATAGATTAACTTTTTTATTTTTTAATTTATTTTATTTATTTATTTTTTTAATTGCATTTTAGGTTTTGGGGCACCTGTGATGAACATGCAAGATTGTTGCATAGGTACACACATGGCAGTGTGGTTTGCTGTCCTCCGTCCCCTCACCCGTATCTGTCACCTCTCCCCGTGCTATCTCCTCCCACCTCCCCACCCCCCGCCCCTCCCCCATTTCCCCCCAACGGACCCCAGTGTGCAGTGCGCCCCTCCCTGCGTCCATGTGTTCTCATTTGAACCTGAGTAACATTCTTATCAGTAGGCTAAGTAAAGTGGATTGCCTTCCCTGCTCCATGTGGGTGGGTCACATCCAATCAGTTGCAGACCTGAATGACAAAAAGGCTGACCTTTCCATTAGCCAGAGGGAAAGCCTCCTGCATGACTGCTTGAGCTGGGACATTGGGCTTTTCCTGCCTTTGGACTTGAACTGAAACATCATCAGTTCTTCTTGCATCTTAAGCCCACTGGCTTTCAGACTTGGCTCTCCTGGGTTTCCAGCTTGCTGACTGCAGATCTTCGGACTTCTCAGCTTTACATAGTTGTGTGAGTCAATTCCCTACAATAAGTATCTTCTTGCCCTCTTTACCTCCTGCTTCCCCACACATATCCTATTGGTTCTGTTTCTCTGGAAAACCCTGATTTAATACACTGGCCTTGCACTTACATTCTGACAGGTCTGAAAAATCAGGTGATTATAAACTGAATACATAAAAATTTGTTATATTGTTTTGAAGGTAAAAAATCTCTTTAGCATATAACTCTTGGATACATTTGACAAGCAAATTTTTACTTTAAATAATATGCTCACTCACCCTTTCCTTAACATTGCATTCCAGAACATCTGCTCAGAAGGGTAAACCCACTTTTTCTCTGAATCTGCTCTGGGAATGGAAGACTCTTCTCTGACAGTAGACAGTGCAAATGGCTGATCTGGAGCTGGTGTTTGATTGGGTGGTGGCATCTAAATAAAATAAGCAGATTTGCTTTTATAGGATATGAAGTCAAAGGCAATATAGTTAACTACTTCCTGGAAAGCAATATGTCACACAAAAAGCACAGATTACTTATTAAATCAGTGACATAAAAATTTCAGAATTCTCAGATAATTTGACTGTTTTGAAGAGTCAGATTACTGAAGTTGTGTTTCTTCATTGATTAAGTTCTCACATGTGGTAAACACTGGTTAAATTTTTGGCATCTCCTTTGAAAAAATTTAGAAGAAATGTCAACAAGGAATAAGAAGTAAAAACTAATGCCAGGGTCTTCAGGCATTTCTAAAAACTTTTTTATGACAAGCTTTTCAAAAATGACTTGTCTTGGGAGACTATACAAGCATCTCTGCATAAATAGCTCCAGAAAGAAAAGATGAGTGTGGATTACCAGATTTGAAGGATCTAGGTTCTCCTTATTCTCAGCTGTGGTGCTCCTAATGGGACACTCCACGTACTCGTAGGCGCGTTCCTGGTGGGCAGGCATAGAGTATCTTTTCTTCTCACAGGTTGGGTCAGATGGCTCTGCACTCACTGGACAGCCTGAAATAATCAAGTGTAAAAACGGTGTCACCATGAAGGCAGGACATCTAGCTCTCTCAACAGGAGCCCTAAAGAGCTGAATTTCTGACCAATTGTTTACCACTGTAGGAAAAGCCAGGTTTCTTCTGTTTAAATCTACCAAGAACTGAGCTAGCTAACATTCCAAAATCCTAAAGATGAGAAGATTCTAAAATGTACTTTTCCTTTGAAAGAAAAATGAGTACCCATTCTCTAATGTCACATCCCCAGCAAAAATCAGCCAAAAAACCTTGGCAGTTGGAAGAGCATGTGTTATCCATGCCATGGCTTTAGTAACCTGGCTGGATGAGCAGCTGGGAGTTGTTAGTGGAACCTAAGTGGGGACCAACCATATTTCACAGGGTCTCCTTGACTTTCCATTCACTAGTTCCAGAGAAGCCCAGCCCCAGTCAGGACACAGCTGTGATCCAGGCTTTCAATACTGATGTATTATCTCAGGTACAAGGAATGGGAGAAGAACAGAGGAGACAACACAAAGGCTATTGGAAAAAAAAAATCTGAATGCCGCTCTGCCTTGTCCCAAGACTGAAACAAGGCACAGGAAAACTACGTGGCCTAGGTAATATTCCCATCAGTCAACAGCGAGAGAGTTTAACAGGAAAAGGCAGAAATTAAAGAAAACATTCCATGACCCATATGGGATCAAGATGCTCATTACAAGGGAAGGTCTGAGCCTAATGAGATGAGCAATAGCAAGCACGATGCCCAAAGACCCAGGATGCTGATCCCAATTAGTGGAAGACTAAGAAGCTGGTTCAGAGAATAAGCCAGCACTTGGAGAGCTGCGACCCAGAAGACAGCTGCTCATGTAATAGAATCCTGGCCTCAGGCAACAGCAGTAACTACAGCAATACACACGAAAAAGATGAGTTTGCTTTCATCACCTTCCCTGCACTTCTCCTCCCAAGCCCTCATTTCCTGATAACCTGTGCTGCTGCCCACTTTAGCGGTGAAGGAAGACTTGCTATGCCTTCCCTCTCTACCACTGAAAGCACCAATCCTTTCCAAGTCATGGATCCCAGTTGGGTGTTAGAAAGAAAATAAGGTTTCCATTTTTCAAATCATATAACCAGCAGCCCCTTTGATCTCCTATAGATATCCACATTTTTCACTAATGTAATAAGTCTGATAGCTCTCCAAGATACATAGCAAATGACATAAAACCAGAGAAAGGGCTTTAGGATCTCCCTGAGGACACTCAGAACAAGAGCATACCTGCTTCAGCTGATCTGTTTCAATTCTTCCTATACAAAGAAACCCCAGAAGAACACCGTCTGTCCTTGTCCAAGGTCACAGAACTTTTGCTGGCTTTGCCACTTACCACCTATGTGACTTGGAGCATCAGTTACTCCAACCCTTAGTTTCCTGACTATAAAAAAGGGGGAAAATCAACCACACAGCTATGACAATGAGAATGTAAGCTCCACCAGGCAAAGCTGCATTTCGTACAATGCTATTCTTTTGTGCAGAAACAAACCCAGCAGTGCTTGGTACAGAATGGGCAGTGACCTCTCAGAATAGGCTGGCTGACTGAAGAAATGAGTAACAGCGGCACATGCATTAGTACTCAGTAAGCACACCATGCTGCTTCTGCCCCTCACAACTTACTGATTCAAGCCATAATTAAATATGAACAATCTAAAGTAGACATGCATCAATTAAAAATGAAAGACAGCTTTTCCATTTTCATTTTCTTATCTAAAGAATGGACAGCAAGCCCATTAGGTGATGGCTTACTTTTACATAGAAGAATATTGAAATGGCTATGGGAGCAAAGGTTATTTATTAAGACAGCCAGATCTAGACAAACGTTTCTCAACCTTGGCCCTCTTGATATTTGGGGCTAGCTGATTCTTTGTTGGGGGTCTGTTCTGTACATTGTAGGATGTTTAGGAGCACTCCTCGTCTCTATTCACTTTCCTCTCAGTTGTGACAACCAAAAATGCCTCCAGATATTGGCAAATGTTCCCTGTGGGAAGTGGGGATTGTCCCCCTCCAGTTGAGAGTCACTGATGTAGGCACCAGTAATCTTTGGGAAGTTGGGGCTGGTTTAGAGTACTCACTATGATCTCATGTACTATCTCAACCTGTTAGTGACAGGCCTGTGAAGTATTATTATATCCTCATTTTACAGATGACGGACTGAGACTTACAGAGCTAACTTGTTTAGAGTCATAAATCTCAATAAGAGGCAAAATAAGGACCAGGCCTAGGGTGCCTGACTGCCATGCCTACCAGCCTCAGCAGCATAATACACTGCCTCTTCCTTTAGAGCCTTTCAAGAACTTTTTAAGACACAGTCTCACTGTCACCCTGCTCAGAGTGCAGTGGTACAATCTCGGCTGACTGCAACCACGGCCTCCCAGGCGATCATGTCCACCTTAACCTCCCGAGTCGGTGGTACTATGGGTGCCCACCACCATATCTGCATAATGTTTGGGTTTTTTTTGTAGAGGAAGGTTTTTGCCGTGTTGCCTAGGCTGGTGTTGAACCCCCGAGCTCAAGCAATCCACTCACCTTGGCCTCCCAAAGTGCTGTCACAGGCCTGACCCACGGTGCCTGGCAGTGAATTATCTTTTATTTTTATAGACAAAGGGCCGATTACCTTTCATTTTCCCTTCATGCATTGGGCATCCTGAAGATGGGGATGCTGAAGCATTTGAGGCCTGAACTGCAACAGCAGGAGTAGACGGAGACAAACCCATGGCTGGAAACAGTGCTGACACCAAGCAATTCTGTATTTCCACCTGCCAAAAACAAAGAGACAGATTAATGTCTCTGGACTCAAAACTATTCTTTCGTTATTCCTAATCTGGCCAACCCTTGTTCCTCCTCTTTATCATCCCATGGGCATCTACCAGGCAGGATACCAACTTCGAAGGACAACTTTAATATATTGCTACTTAGGGAAATACTGCGAAACCTACAGCAACCTCTGGGGGGACGTTTCTAAGGCAGTGAGATTTTGGGGACTGAGGTAAGGCAGTCGCTGAGAAACCACGACACTACCAGGAGGTATAGTCCTGAGGCAGGGTGGAGGTGGGGGTTTCCTAGGAGTCGTGACCCGGGTGGAGGAGGGGAGGCCCATTAAGCCCAGACTTAACCCCGGTCCCCAACGCCTTAGCGAGGGACTGGGGGTCCGGGAAGGGTGCGGCGCATGAAGATAAATCAGAAGAAAGGAAGGGACAGCGGAGGTCAAGGCGCTGCCAAGTGTCTTCCCCACACCGTCCCAGCGCGTGCCCACCGGCTCCAGCCCGCGGTCCCCAGACCAAACCGGCCACAGTCAGCCCGCCCTTCTGCACCTGAGCCCTCCCCCGGGCTGCTCCGGGCGGCCGGTACCGCCTTCAATCCCAAACTCGAACCCAGAGCAGCAACGACTTTCGCCACCACCGCCGCCGCCGCCGCCACCTTCCTCTCGCTCGGTCACCGCTGTGGCCGCGGTCACCGCCGGCGTTCTCTCCTGCCGCTACTTCCTTTTTAGAAGGCGGGACTTCCGGGCACGCGAGAGGCGGGCTGAAGAGTAATGTTTTCCGTCAATCACGGAGAGCGGGTTCCGTTCTCTCCGCGCCTCCGCCTGTAACCGCAGAGGGGGCCGCTCTCTGGGCCCGCCCCTCAAGGCCAGGAGGCTTTTTCAAAATGTCCGCGCTGGCAGGGAAGGTTGTCTGGTACAGAGGCTTCCCTAGAGTGAAGATCTCTGCTATGTATGCTTTATGCGGCAGAGGGAGTGCTCTGGAGGAGTTTTTAAATTTCAGTTTCCTTAAATGTTATCCCATCAGTTTTAATTATAGCAGTGATTCAAGAAACATTAGCAGGTGCCCATAACTGTGGCTGGCGGAGATCCAAAAGTGAACAAGACAGTGTTCGGGCTGCCAAGGTCTTCTTCACTGGGTATGTGATTTTGAATGTCTGTATTTTCATTTACCTCCAACGGAAATTTAGCATTTTTTTCCATCGGGAATGTAGGCAACAAATCCTAGTACTATTAGCTACATATGGCACTAATAGACATCAGAGATAAACTATGTCACATGTGGTTGTTGTGTCTATCTCAAAATATCATCCATCCACTACTTTGAAATTAAAGTAATTTGATCATATTACTTAAAGTGTTAGTAAATAAACATATATCTTTATAACTAGTGGATCTGTGAAATACGTCCAGATGCCCCCTGGTGCAGGAAGTGTTGGGGGCTCACAGCTTTCAGCTGAGTCTCCAGGGATTGTCCTCTGCCTAAGAGAATTGCCGCACACAAAATCACATTTCCTCCTTGGGAACAGTCTGCATCCTATGAGGGTTTCTGCAAAGGCACATAAGCCCAGGCCCCCTAGTCCCAAGGGGGACAACTCAGAAGGGCCATCCTGGCATCAGAGCTGTCTACAGGATAGCCTGAGGTTTCCATTTCAACTACATTGACTACATCACAGCTCAACTTCTCTCTTTACCCACAATTATTTTATACCTCCCACAATTCCCTTTCACTCTGATAATTCTGTTTTGTTACCCACAATTCTCTTTTCCACAATTCTCAGTTCCTTGCACAATCTTCTGTCTCCCACAATTCCTGTTTCTCTCACCATCCCAAGTCACTCCCAAAATTCTATTCCTTCCCACAATTCATTTTTCTGTCTGACAATTCCTTGTCTTGCTCATAATCATCTTGTTTCTCCCACAATTCCCTTTGTCTCCCACAATTCACATTTCTGTTCCACAATTCCCTGTCTTGCCCATAATTCTCTTCTTTTTCCCACAATTTGCTGGCTTTCCCAACAATTCTTTATTCTTTCCTACACATTCTTATATCTCTCAAAATTCTATTTCCCACAGTCCTGTTTCTCCCAGAATTCTTTGTCTTTTCCATCATTCCCTATGACTCTGTCTCTCACAATTCTTTTCTCTCAAAATTAGTCATTTCCACAGTGTTCTGTTCATTCACAATACTGTTGTTATTCCCCAGTCTCTCCCATAATTCCCCATTCTCTCTCATAATTCTGTTCTCTCACAATATTTTTTCATGATCTCCTTTCTTCCACAATTCTCTCTTCATTCTCATTAGCCCTTCTCTCCCACACACTTTACTCTCTCCCATGATTCCCTGTATCTCCCAGAATTCTCTATTCTCTCCTCTACTTCCCTGTCTCTCTCCTAGTTCTCTGTTCTTCCACAATTCCTTATCTTAAACATAATCCTGTATTCTATGCTACAATTTCCTCTCTTTCCTGTCTCCCCCACAATTCTTTGTTCTTTCACAGAATTCTCCACTTTTACAATTCTCCATTCTCTCAAAATACTCCATTACAATTCCCCAGTCTTTCTACTAACGCCCATTCTCTCTCATAATTCTGTTTTCTCACAATATTCTCTTTCACAATTTTCTATCCCACATGTGTTCCTTTTCTCCCAAAATTTTGTCTCTTCCACAATTTTTTGTTCTCTCCCACAATCCTGTCTCTCTCACAGTTCTTTGTCCTGTCCTCTCCCACAATTCCATGTTTCTCCCACAGTTCTGTTCTTTTACAGCTCCCTAGTCTGTCTCCCAATTCCACATTGTCTCACAATTCTCTGTTCTCTCATGATACTTTATTATCTCCCACAATTCTCCCTTCTCCCATAATTCTCCCTTCTCTTCCACAATTCCCTATTTCTCCTACCATTTTCTATTCTTTACCACAATTCTCAGTTCCCTTTCACAGTTTCTCAGAATACCCAAGCCTGGTCCTGTAACTTCAGTGTTTCCCAAGAGCAGGGCAAGAAAGGGAGGTTTTTCAGGCCCATAGACAGAGCAATGGAAGAGGATGCAGCCTGGGCATGACACAGAAGGTAGGTCAGGGAAGAGCACAGCTCACTTTGGATGGAGGTATGGGAGTGGGCAAGAAGGAAAGCAGGGCCCAAGTGGAAGAGCATGCCCCAGATAAATGGTGCGTGATCAAGAGGAAAATGTACAGTAGGAGGGTTTGTGGTTATAAGGAGAACAGGTGTCAGGAAAGTTGTGACTAAGGGGGAGCACAAAAGACCAATTCTTTGATTTTTTCCACAATTCCTGAATTCTTTCACATAATTTCCTATTATAGCACTTGACAAAAAATTACAATTATATATTTGAATGTGTGATTCTCTTACCTATGTATGATTTTCTGAAGTTAGAGAATAGATCTTATTTAGCTTTTTATCCCCTATATCAGCACAACTCAAAATGTGTCCTGCCAGTAGGGACCAGTTCACACACTGTTACCATTCTAATATGAGATGAGGAGCTTTCACCACAGGTAAAGCAAAACATTCCTTGCTTCATCAAGTCAAGAAAGTCTTACTATGAAAAATGTCTCATCTCAGATAAAATTGTGCTTAGTAACATAGCAGATTCATATTATAGCACAAGATTCTTATCGGTACCTGGACTGGCCCTTCAGTAGCACTGCCCTATCATTACAGTGTAGTTTCTGTTGTATAATTGAGTGCCCACTAAAGCAATCAGAAGCAGACACTGATGGGATCACAGAGTCAATGAATCTTGAACAACATCACTCATTCAACAGTATTTATGGAGCATCTATGTTGTGTCAATTACTGTGGGAAGTGCTGAGAATTTAAAAGTGCTAGACAGCCGGGCACGATGGCTCATGCCTGTAATCCCAGCACTTTGGGAGGCTGAGGCGGGTGGATCACAAGGTCAGGAGTTCGAGACCAGCCTGGCCAAGATGTTGAAACCTCATCTCTACTAAAAATACAAAAATTAGCTGGACGCAGTGGCATGCTTCTGTAATCCCACCTACTCAGGAGGCTGAGGCAGGAGAATCGCTTGAACCTGGGAGGCAGAGGTTGCAGTGAGCCGAGATCGTGCCATTGCACTCCAGCCTGGGTAACAGAGTGAGACTCCATCTCAAAAAAAAAAAAAAAAAAAAAAAAAAAAAAAAAGTGCTAGACAGACTCCTTGCTCTCAGGGAATTTACATTCTAGTAAATGAATAGATCAGATAACAAACAATCCAACAGAAACAGGTAAATAATTTCAGATCCTGAGAAAAGCCAATTAATTGACACAGGTAGTGTCACAGAGATTGAGGGATGGAGGTCTACCCACCCCATGGGTGGATGATCTGTGGAGCAGAAAGTTTGTATTCCCTGGGAGCTTGTTAGAAATGCAGACTTTCAAGTCCCTTCACAGAGTCACCGAGTCAAAATCTGTCTTGTAACATGATCCCCAGATGATAAGTGCACACGATATAGATTGAGAGCTCAGGATACCTTCTCAGATATGGTTGTCAGTAAAGACCTCTCTGAGAAGGGTGACATTTTAGCTGAGACCTGAGTGTTGAGAAGGATATATGTAAAGGTGAATGCAAAGAGTGGTCCAGACAATGAGAATTCCATGGTAAAATGTTCCAAGATCAGAAGGAACAGGGGAAGACCAGTGTGGCCCACACAGAATGAGTCAGGGACAGAATGGTTAGTGGTGTTGTTGGGGCTGGATTATGCCATAGGCCATGAGGAAGTTACATTTTCTTCTAATTGAACTGTGAAGCCATGGAAGGGTTTTTAAAAATAAGAGTCATTTGATTTGACAATAGAGATAGCTTTTCTCAACTTTGCTCTTCACCACTCTCCAGTTATACCTGGAGACCTTCACTTGGTTCTATGACAGCACTGCCCATGAACTTCATAGAATGTGGTCTTTGCTAAGGCCTAAATGAATAAAGGCAAGTTCCTAAGACACAGCCAGGAGACCCCCCCACTTATTTGTCTGTGTTCCATGGGGTCTGCCAGAATTCATCATGTATGTACTCAGAGGAACCACATCTACATGAGAGGCTAGGGCTGCCTCTTACTTTTGAAAATGAACACTGCTTTTCCTTAAAGGGATTTATTGCCAATAAAATTATAGATGGCCAGAGGTTATCATTCTATTTAATATTCTCACAACCATTGTAATAACTTCAGAGGATATATTACTAATTGGTAGGTCCCAAGCTTTTTTGTGTTTTTATAAGAGTCAAGGGTTTCTTAACACAGACCTCTAAAAATTCAATTAATTAATTCACTGATTGTGGATGGCCACCTTATATGATGGAACACTCCCAATTTCTTATCTGAAACCTAGTTTCATGTCTCCAGATGTATACAGCACATTGCTTTTTGAGAAAGTTTCTTTAATTTATAGCTGTACTTATTTAAGACTGGACTTCCCTTAATATCTGCCAAGGGAATCTGAGTGGGCACTAATGAGCCAACAGTGAGATCAATTCAGAAAACTTAAGGCTATTCTTTATGAATGCCAACAGGGAGATTGCCCAGCCTTTTCTCATGCTGGGGAATTAAGTGGGGATGAGATTTGTTAGGAGACAGAGCGCTGATTCCCTCTATGGCAGTGCTTCTCAACTAGGGCTGATTTTGCTAGCCCTATCCTGGGAGTATTTGACAATATCTGGAGACATTTTTTTGGTTGTTACACTGAGGATAGTGGTTATTAGTGAAATCAAGTGGA